CTTCCTTCCGAGGAGTGGCTGGTGGGCTTGAACCGCCAGCCATCTGGTTAGCAAGCAAGTGTCCTGGCCACTATGCTACCAGAGCTCAAGAGACATGCAAATCAAAACAATAATGAAATACCATCTTCCTCCAGCACTAGCAGTAAAGTTCAACAAGACACAAAATAACAAATGCTGGCAAGGATGTGGAGAGATTGGAACTCTCATACACAGCTGGTGGGGCTGTAAAATGGTACAACGACTGTGGAAAGCAATATGATGATTCCTTCAAAAGTTGGAATTAGAAATACCATTTGACCCAGCCATTCCATTACTAAGTATATATCCTAAAGAAGTGAGAGCCAGGACAAGAACAGACATATGCACACCCATGTTCATTACAGCACTATTTACAATAGCCAAAATACGAAAACAACCTAGGTGTCCACAAACTGAGGAATGGATAACCAAACTATGGTACATACACACAGTGGAATACTATACAACCCTAAAAAATAACAGAGAATCTGCAAAACACCGCATTAACACGGATGAACTTGGAGGACATTATGCTAAGTGAAATAAATCAATCACAGAAGGACAAATATTGCATTAGTCCATTATTGTAAAAGTCAAGGAAAGGTTTAGATATGGAAGGAAATTTTCTTTGTTGGTTACCTGGGGTGTGAGGGTAGGGTAGGGAACACAGATAGGTAGAGATAAGTATTGATTTGGGTGAAGAGAAGGGCAATGTACCAAATGTGAATGATCAACATGGTGGCACTGAGGAAGAGGAAGACATAGAGAGGTACATGGTAGGTAGAGACAACAAAGATGAACCCTTCTGCACATACAGTACTGCACTGTCAGTGAAAGCAAACAGGGGTATACAGGTGGACAGATGGGTGGACAGGCTGAACTATCAGGTATATCTATGAAGCAGGGAGTGTACCTAAGACCATTTATAGGGTTGGCAGACAATGGTCCTGTAAGTGTATTTGTATGATCTGATATTCCCAGGTGTATAGTAGAGCTGACAAGGGACAAGGTTGTAGTCACTTCTTAATCACAGCCAGCTACCCAGAGGGACTGAGTAATTGAACCTGTGGGCTCAGGACCATAGTCACAGGGGACATCGAGCTCAATTGGTATAACATACTACACAAAACACTATTCTACTTTCTACTTTGGCAAGTAGCACCTGGGATCTTATGGTGGGTCTCTCCTTGTCCAGAGCAAAGAATAATGAAGAAAACCAAAGATTCACGGAAACAATTAGTCCTGGCGACTGGTACACCATGCAATCTTCAGCCTATATGACTGTAAGACCAGAAGAACTACATGGTGCCCAGCTACCAGTCAACCACTCATTGGGGGATCTATGTAGGAGATCCTGGATAGAGAGGGAGAACAATGTGGAACAAAACTCAAAATCATTTGAAAAGAAAAAGGGGGGGAGGGGGGACACAACCAGGTTTGCTGGTCTCATAGAGCCTGGTGGAACCACGGAGACTATGGCCCCTCGCTGCCCTTCAGGTCTGGACGTGAACCCACACCTGTGGCTTCCAACCAAACAAAAGACAGGTATATGAGCTGAACATTTACCTGAGGTAGATACATTCCTTGGAGAAAACAATCATGGGAGAAAGAAGGGCTGTTCATGCACAGGGAGACAGCTCAGGGGGCAGGAGTGCATGGAGGGATGAACACAGGGAAGAGGTAACTATTGAGAGGAAGTGGGAGGGGAGCTGTTGCATTGTGGTAAATTGTGGTCAATGTCATGAGACAAAGCGTATGTGAACTACTATATGGAAAGTGAATTTGCTCTGTACACTTTCACCCAAATGACAATTTATGTAAAAAAAAAAAAAAAAAAACAAACCAGCTCAGTCATGAAAATTTTGACTACCTTAAAATTTTTACCAGCCGTTTTAATGACATTGATAATATAAATCTTTGCCTACAGAAATGAAACACAGAAAACGGAAGCCTTCAACTTTGCAAAGATAGCTTTTATATTAAGTAGAACTTAGAATCTGATCAGGTTCCCCAAGAGTTTGTATCTCTTTTCATCTGAGGAAACTAGCCAATCATTTATAGACTGACTCATATCTCTTGTCCAGAGACATGAGAGAACTGATAAACAGGTAACATCCTGTTTCTATACACTGTTCTATGCACCAAGTAAAGCAACAAATGGTATGTATCAGAGCTTCCCAAAATGTGGTTCTGAAATTAAAAATCACCTGGATTCTTGGTCCCCACTGTGCCAGCGTCTCTGATGGAGTCCAATAATAAGCATTCTTGTAAGAATCATGTCTAAACATTCTTTAGAGGAAAAGCTCACGCAAACTAAATTTTGAGACGTACTGGTACCTCTAGTAAAGCTCTTTTGACTCACTTTTGAAAATAAAGCTTTATGAAAAGCATTAAAGTAAAAAATTCCACAGAAACAAGGATAAATGTGGCTTCCTTTTAACACCATTAAGAACTCACAAAACTTTTAGTTTCAAGTACTGAATGAGGAAGTATAATTAAAAGCCAAGACGTTACCTGGTCTAGTTTGCGCTTCAACGTAGATACTTCTTTAGGGTTAGAAAAGGTGATATCCAGTCCGGGCGAGATGGCGTAGATGAACTCAATCTCATATTCTCGGGCAGCAGAGATGAGAGTCATCAGCTGCTCTGAAACACAGAGCCCGTGTTTTCAGAAAGCAGCACAAAAAACTAAAAGAACCTTTACCTTTCAACTGAAGATGAGAAGGTAATTTTCTCTAATTTACAATGAGACAAAAAAAAAAAAAGTTCTTTAAATTTTACAAAAAAGTCATGTTCAACATAACAATGGAGTTGTGGAGTCAGATCCAACTCACAGCAGCTCCTCCTTGGGTTTCCAAGGTGGTATCACTATGGAAGTAGATTGCCCAACCTTCCTCCTGAGAAGTGGCAGGCCATACAAAACGGCGCAGCCCTAATGTGACTGAATGTCACAGGAAGAGAAAAACAACTATAGTTTTCACATTTTTTATTTATTTGAACCAACAAAAATTAAAAGGCCCCTCTTTTTCACTTTCAAATGGTTTACCTCCTTTTTTGTGAAACAATCCAAAAACAGCAAAGTATACTCTTCCTTTCACTGCTGTTTCTCAAGAACAATAGTAAGTTGTCCATTCTTAGTGAACATAAATCATTTCTTCTATTTCTTACAGCATTTGAGAAGTTTTTTTTTTTTTTTGTTCTTTATTTGCTCTCTGAACAAGAGAAATTCCTAAATAAATCTACATAAAGCTATTTTATAATTTGAAAAGGAGAAAATGCTTTCTTTAGTTTTGGAGGTAAGTGACAGCCCTGAGGATCCTGACTCCCCAGCCTTATAACCACAGGAAAACATTCACTGCATATCTCAACACTTTAAAATGGGATACTCTCTTTCTAGCTAATTTAAAACTCCTACTCCAACTACAGGATAGATCCTTAAATAACTTTCAGTGGTATCTCAAGACAGTCATTTGATGATATTTTGATTATTGAACACATTAAATTTCATTACCAGCACCACCAGAAAATAATTAAGTTGAAAATACACTTAAATTATATAGAGTAGTAAACAGTAACACTAGGAGATGGGCTAAGTTTTAATTGCTTCTTTGTAATTCAATAAAACTTTTCTGCATTCAGGCCTTTGGATAGGCTTGTAACCAAATACCTTGTTAGCTACATATGTATACCATTTAATTCCAAGTATAAAAATGTTTCCTAATTCACTCAAGTCCTCAAAGAAAAGCAGTACCTGTCCTAATTTATAGGTTCTCTAATGTACTACCTTACTTATGAACATAAGAATACACACAGGAAAGATAATCCGTGATCTCTCTCTACTTCAGTAGGCCTGGATTAGGGTGAGGTTCTTATTTTAAATAAAGGCAAGACTAGTAACAGCGAAGACTCAAGCCACACTGGAGTCAGGAGCAAAATGAATGATAAGTAATATTGATCCCAGTTTTAAAACTATATTTTATTCACCATGGATTTTTTACTTTTGCATTAATTTTTATTTTTAAAAACCACTGCAAAAAACATTATTTATCTTGGTTACTGATTTTTGTTGTTATGTGCTGATTGCCCCATCTTCCTTCCGAGGAGCGAGGTGCGGCTGGTGGATCTGAACCATGAGCCATCTGGTTAGCAATCAAGTGCCTTAGGCACTATGCTATCAGAGCTCCCACTGATTTTTTTAGCATCTTAAATTTTGTGCTGAAGGAAAAGACATCAACTGCTCTGCCCCAGTACTGGCCCTGCCTCAGCCCCTCTTTGCTCTGTGGTGCACTATTTATAGACTACTCCCTACAATAAAGAGTACAATCCATGACCAGAGAATAGGTGGAATTAGACTGGCTCACCTAGTAATCAACACTTACAGCCTTAACCATGTTAGTGTTACTCAATCATCAGTAACTCATATAAACTAAACAGTTACCAGGTAGAAGACAAGGAAAATGAAATACTTAATAAAATTCTTGCACAACTACATTTAAAACACAGTTGTCTTCTTCACATATTCTGAATTTATGGATCAAAAAAAAAAGATTACCAGCTTCCTCCACTGAATACATCTCTCGCCAAAACATCCTATGCTTGTAGTCATCTTTTGGAGCATACAGGTATGTATTTAATTCCCATTTCTGGAGCCTTAGAGAAAGGAAAATTACATATGTGTAAATAGGCAATACTTATAGGCAGTAAATCTCAAATTATTCCTTTCTTGGAGTATCTTAATCTCAAACAAAGCTAATGATATTCTGTGACAGTGGTACTTAATCTTTTTTTAATCAGAATTTTTAGAAATTAACTATTACAAGGAATGTCAACATATTTATTAAGTAAAAATAAAACAACACTGGGTGAGTGAGGTGAAGCCCAAAGCTAATTCAGCTACTTCGGGATAAGTTTGAAAGCCACTAGCCTATGTGAAGAAGTAACCCAAGACTAACTGCCAATGACTCGATTCCAACTCAGAGTGACCCTATAGGACAGAGTAGAACTGTCCCATAGCATTTCCAAGGTTTATGGAAGCAGACTGCCTCATCTTTCTCCCTCAGAGTGGCTGGTGGGTTCAAACCGTGAACCCTTTGGTTAGAAGCTGAATGCTTTAACCACTGTGCCACCAAGGCTCCTTGAAGAAGTAGTAAAAGACAAAGGTAAAATAACGTCTGTGATTAAGACCATTCAAACTGCACCAGATCTAGTCAATGCTAGTATTTTTCAACAAAAAGAAACTATTAAGGGTTTAAGACTCTATCTTTACATCACAAAATAAAAATGTACCTCCTAAAGAGTTCTTTTCTCTGTTCCATAACCCAAGGTCTTCCATAAAATCCTACAATCGGAGCAAAAATGAAATTATTTTCAAGTTACAAAATATGACAAGCCACTTACTGAGAAAAGCAGGTTAGAAGACATACAACAGAATCCCATTTCGTAGAAACTGGACAATACACCAAATTCGGAAGGCTACCATAAAATATTAAGGGTGGTGACATCATAAGGTCACTTTTACACCCTTTTTGCTTAAGTAATTTAAAATTTTTTCTACCACAAACATTTATTACTCATGCGATAGTTATTTTTAAATGGCTAAACCATATCATCTCTTTTCATTGTCAATAAAGACCAAACATATTTAAACCAGGTTTTTAAAAGAGAACATCAATCTTAAAATGGAGGAGGAGCAAAGTAATAAAAAACTACGACTATTAACAACCACTATCTAGGAGGAAAATTAAAGTGCTTCAGAGGGGAGAAAAGAACTAAACAGGTAAGGAAGGAAATAAATCAGGAACAGGATTCTAGAAAGCAATCTAACTGACCTAATTTCATGATCACTTTTTTTTTTTTTAAGTTCCTGATATAAGCAAAGGAACTAAAAAATGCCTGAAACCACATTCACAATAGAATTAGCAGTACCAGCAGGCCCAAACAGGAAACTCAGACAATCGCCAATTCCAGAGCAAAGGTTAACAACAGAAAATTTAAGAACGTGACTTGCCCCAGGGTACCCCACAAGTGGGTAGAGCACCAGAACTGCACAGTGCAGACCGAGGGCACGAGCACGATAAGCACCCAACTCCTGGGGCTCCCTAGTGGGCTCCGCAACACTGACTGGACATCTTTTCTAACCCTTCCAACCTCTCATCTGAAAGAGGTAAGATGAACCTAAAATACCATGAAGATGATGAATAAAACATTTTGAACACAAAATGCTCTTTGTACGCAGTCTCTACATAAAAAACTAATAGAACTGAAATTTCTGAAACATATTAAGCTCCTATCTCTAGTTACTGGGTACCACAGACAAGGACAATGTCAGGCCAAAGGAAAATTCATTATATACTAAGCTATGAAACCGTAGCATTTCCAAGCTTGATATTTCACTAAGACACTCTTACGTGTGGTTCAAAATATTCTTGATTACGTAAAATTTCTCTGTAGCTTTCCTACAGTGTTTATAGTTGCCATTTTTCTCTTACAGGAAACAGGCACTGAACATCCATTTAGAACCACTCCAGTACCAAAAAATGACTTTTCACATACCTAACTTTTTAATCTTCAGAAGCCCTAACTCTGCTCTTTGAGACTTAGATTCATGGTTTTGACAAATTGGCACTACAAACAAAAAGCAGTGCTGTTACCATGAATTTAAACCAAGCAAAGGCTTGTGAGGGCAGGGGAACCAAAAGGGAATCCTGGTAGTACCTACAGTATTTGTTATACATATTCATTTCAGAAATGATGCCAATCTAGAACAAATACAATCAACAAACAAAAAAATGCTGACTTAGGCGCTCAATCACCAAGAAATTACAGACAGGAATGGGAGAAGAGGAAGAACAGACTAGAGAATTACAGATAACTGTATTATCTAGTGGCGGGGGCACTTGGGTTTCCGAGGTGGTATCTCTATCGAAGTAGATTGCCCCGTCTTCCTTCCAGAGGGGTGGCTGGTGGGTTTGAACTGCCAGCCTTCTGGTTAACAGTCAAATGCCTTAGGCACTACACCACCAGAGCTCCAGTATAGGAAGAGTCCTCTTTTAATACTGCAGGCAGTCCCCAGGTTACCAATGAGATCAGTTCCTCAGTGCTTCTTTAAGTCAAATTTGAGGGTAAGTCAGAACAGGTGCTTACAGTTCTTAGCTTTACTTTAGTTCAAGAAAAGACTCAATCAATGCCTTTTCAAAGATTTAAAAGCTTCAAGTGCAGCAAGTGAAGGTGATTGTGATGAAGAATTTGTTGAGAGTGTTGTTGTTGTTATTTGCCCTCGAGTCGACTCATAGCGACCCCTCCTTGGGTTTCCAAGGCAGTATCACTACGGAAGTAGACTGCCCCATCTTCCTTCCAAGGAGTGGCTGATTTGAACTGCCAGCCTTCTGGTTAGCAGTCAAGTGCCTTAGGCACTACACTACCAGAGCTCCCTTGTTGAGACTAGATAGTTTCAAACTGAGGGCAATTTTACATAACATTAAAGGGCAATTAAGAGTCATCTCCTAACCCAAAACCCAGACACTTACTGTATTCTGTAAAACAAATCAAATTGCATAAACAACAATGAGCTTTTTTCTCCATATCAACAAAGATGTAACAGGCGAAAGTTTCCTAAGAAACTCCAGTTTAGCTCTAAAATTTCTGTATCTCCAGCACACCTCTCCACCCTCCACCTCAACACCTTTGATGACAAAATACAGATTCTTTTTCTGACTAAAATGAAGCCCAATTAATACATTAGTTGGTAAGTCACACAAAACAATCATGTTTTCATAAAGTGACCTCTTGGAATACAAACAAGAAATAGCTTTCCATCATCCTCCCAAATTCTGCAAGACAGTTACAACTAACTGTTTCACTCGCTACTGTAGCCGCAAATTGGTCTGTTCTTACAGTTAAACTTTATCTGAGATACCGTAACCATCACCCATCTTTCACGTGAATACGCTTATCTAGTGACAACGCTGTAAAAGCTGCTGCTTTTAACCAGGAAGCCAACACTTCTTCCCTTTCCATACCTTTGTGCTTTTTATTAAGATTAATTTTATACAATATGACTCCTATGCACGTCGTTACATATAGAAAGAAAAGAGTAACACAAAAGCAACCCTGAATCAGTCAAAATACTTCAGAAATTTCAAATAATGTATGCTGAACTCAAGGAGAACGCAACTGATACACGCTTCTATGGCACGCTGGACTGAAAATCTGTCCATTCACATTCAGAAATTGTGATACACAATCTTCTGGCAACTGTCCTTAACTACCAAAAAGTCCATCATTTCTTTTTAACTAGAAATAGAAGGCGAGCACTGTAGCCTATCCTGCAGCCACTAAATTCAAATTCAGTATCTCAAAATATTCTGGAAACCTGTTATTGAAGTTAAAGCATTACCCCTCAAGAGCAAAGTACAGTAGTCGGAAAAGAGGACACTTTTCTAGGCTGCAAATAAACCTTCAAAGTGTGGGGAGTGGGGAATGGGCGGCAAAAATTTTCTAGACAGAGAGAAATTTGTAATTATAGCCCGACTGCGCGCACCTTCACTCCAGGGGTACAAGCACGTCCGTGTGGGCTGATTCCCTGCCCCCGGCCCCCAAAAGAGTATGGACAAAAACACTGCACACATTCTTTTATTTCTCCATCCAAACGCAGAAAACTCCACGGAATAGAAGGAAAACCCTGAGCCCAACACCAGGCTCCTTACCCACCCCCTCCTCCACAGCAAGCCTGGCTCCAAGCCCAGGACGGGTGGGGTCAAGTCTGTTAGTAGCCAGAAGGGAATTCCACGCAGTTTCAGAACACGAGCAGAGACCTCCCCCACCCAGTCTCTTCCCTCGTTTCAGCAGGGCCCAATTTCAGACCTAACGAGCTAACCAGTAACCAGCTGCCTTGGAATCGTCTCTGACTCACAGCGACCCCTTATCTGTCAAAGTAGCACTGCCCGCCAAAAGGTTTACAATGGCGGAGTTTTCAGATGTACATCATGTCGATCACTAAGCCTTTCTTCCGAAATGCCTATGCGTGAACTAGAACGTCCAGCCTCTTAGTTAGCATCCGAACAGGTTTGCATCACCCACAGATTCTTTAGAACCCCTTAACGCACACAGTTCGAACCCATCCAGAGGTGCCTTGTAAGAGAAACCTGGAGAGCGATCTACTTCCGAAAGGTCACAGCCTTGAAAACCCTGTGGGGCAGTTCTACACTGCACCCACGGGGTCGCCATCAGTTGAAATGGACTCCAGGACAACAAACAAAACGAAGAAAGGGCCCCGCCCGGCCCCCCAGGGTGCATCTTCAAACCGCGCCACCCCTCCCCCACGAGGAGGAAATAAATAAATAACAAGAATCCAGAGTCGTCGATTCCAACTCACTGCCACCCAACAGGACAAAGCAGAACTGCTCCAAAGGCTTCCCAAGGTTGTAACCGTTACGGGAGCAGACTGCCAAATCAGTCTCCCGCGGAGCGGCCGGTGGGTTCGAACCGCCGACCCTTACCTTAGCAGACAAGTGCTTAACCACTGCGCCGCCACAGCTCCTCCACGAGGAAAGAATTAATCCTGGGGCGGGTTTAGACGGCGCTCCCGCCAGCCTGCGACAGTGAGCTCACCTTCCACCACGCCACAGAGGAATCTCCGAGCCCCTCCTGCCGCCCCGGCCACCGCTGCTCCCGAGGTCCCGGCTGGGTTGTCATCTCCGGGGGCCTGAGCAGCCGGCGTCTCCAACGATGCCCCCGTGGAGGAAGAGGTGGCTGCAGGATTGGAACTGAGCTCGCTCTCCTGCTCCTCCAGCGCCGCCTGGCTCTCTTTCTGTACCATCCTCCTGCCCCGAGCCACCGCCACCACTGCAGGTCCTCCTCGGCCTCCGTCCGTTGGGCCGCTGGCCCGGAGCCCTGGAAAGGGCCTTGGCTCCGAGCGCGCGCCCTTCCGATTCCTTCCCTTCCCCCCTCCGCCCTTCCCCCTCCCTCTCTGCAGTGGCCCGGATGAGAAGGGCGGCGGCACCGGCGCGAGCCCTTTGTCAGCCGCAGCCTCAGCCTCAGTCTCAGCCTCAGCCGGGAAGCCGGGAACCAGAGCGAAGAACGAGGCCGCGACCTCTCGTTCTCTGAAGGCAAATGGCCTGAGCTCCTTTTCTCGTTTTTAGTTAACCTCTATTACCCTCCTAATTATCTCCTCCTCCTGCTGCTTCCCCACCTAAGCCCCTAGGTCTCCTCTGCCGCTGCCCCTACTGCCCGCTTCCTGTTTATCCGCACTGCGCTTGCGTCGCAGACCGGCTCAGACCGGTCCCCTCAACCCGGCTCCCCCTTCTTTCGGGTCAACCCATTGAATCTCATTCGGAGGGGGAATTAGAACATAGGCGAAACGAAAAGCGGAAGATAATGAGGGCATTGGGATGTACCATTTGTGCTCACCACCCTCCAGATCGAGCCTAGCACCCTGGGACTGACCATTACCCCACCCGAAGAAGGGAAATATGGGAGGAGGCTTCGCCGGATTTGGGCAATTGGGAGAGGAGGGGAGGGTGGAAAAAAAAAGGTGTTTACTTTCTCAATGCGCAGGCGCGGAAGCGAAGCCTCTAGTTCTTAAAGAGATAGAAAGCTACTGACCTACTTTCTGTTGAGACGCTTCTGATAGATTGGCTCATTACTTCAGTTCCGCCCAGATTTGGTTCTGTGAAGACAACTCTCCAAGGAGTTTGCTGCCTTGAGTCATTTTCTCCTACCTCCAACTTGGCGCTAATCCCGTTTAAAAATGCAATAATTCGTTCATTGCTTTATTCAGCAGACATCTAGTGAGCTTGCCTCGTGTTTGGCTCTGGGGCTACTATGAGCTCACAGTGTTGTGGTGGAGACAGGCAAGTGCACACACTCCCCACACGGTGTACTCACGTATTGCCCGAGCTCAGAGGAGAGAATAATTTATTCCTTTGGGGAAGGTGGCTGTGACTTCACTTTTGAACTTGATCTTAAAGAATGAGGAGGAGTGAGGAGGGAGGAGGAAGAAAAGAGAGCAAGCTATCCATGGAAGTGAAACAATCGAAAAGCCTGGCTTGTTTGGGATTGGGAAGCACCTCAACAAAATCATCATTTCCCTGGGGAAGTCTCTGAACCCTAAATGGGCTGGGGTCCCCTTGCTGTGTGTTCTTAAAGCTCCCTGTATCTATCGGAAGGATCTTTACAGATAAATTGATGAAGAGGTATAAACGTGAAATGTTTTTCTTCAAAGATTGTTGAACCCCTCTCAAGAGTACATAAAAAATAAGCATCTTGTCTCATTCTGATTATTAAGACGTTGTTGTTGTTGTTATGTGCCGTCGAGTCGGATCTGACTCATAGTTAGCCCTCCTTGGGTTTCCCAGGCGATATCACTATGGAGATAGATTGCCCAACCCTCCTTCCCAAGAGTGGCTGGTGGGTTTGAACTGTGAGCCTTCTGGTTAGCAGTCAGGTGCCTTAGGCACTATGCTACCAGAGCTCCTTATTAAGATTTAGCACTATGTAGTTTACACTTCAGAGGTAGGCGGTTGGAGCCCATCAGCTGCTTTGCAGTAGAAAGATGTGGCAATCTGCTTCAGTAAAGATTTTGGTCTAGGAAACCCTATGGGGTAGTTCTAGTCTTAGACTTCACACTGATATTATTTTGTCATGAAGCAAAATGTGCATGAACTGCTGTAGAGAAAATGAATTTGCTCTGTAAACTTTCACCCAAATAACAATAAAAATTAAAAAAAAAAAAAACCCTGATATTATTGGACTCCTCCAGCAGTAGCCCAACTTGTAGCTTCAGAAACTCTTATAATCCCTCTTCTTTTTACTCCTGGAAGGTTGAAATGGGGGTTAGGAGGAAGCATTTTCTTAGCAGACATTCTGTGAGGACAGCTGAGGGCTGTAAGCAGTCACTGGGTATTGTGGTCCCTTGGGAAATTTGGAGGCTGACCCCAGCTCTTGGTCTCGTGACACTTTTTCTCTTTGCCTCATATCTCCCACTGTAGCAATTGCCAGCAAGTCAGCATCCCCAGTTTCCTATACTCTCCACAGACTAGACTCTAGGGAAAGATCCACCTTCCACATCTGGACCTCTCAAACTTGAGGGCTGGAGTTTGCCCCACACAGGACCGCCATACACTTTCTCTCCACACCAAACCTCCACCTCTGGCAGCTACAACAGGAATTAGTGCTTAATAGACTTGTTATAAATATTTGTGGAATGAAAAGATGGGATCCTGCCCTCACAGAGTTTATATTCTGTTTAGGGAAACAGATAATTAGAAACTTAGTCCATATACAAAAATTCAGATTGTAATAAGTGCTATGAAGGGAGGAAACTAAGTGACGTGATGCAGAGTAACTGCAGCAAGGGAGGGCTGTTCCAGATGGACAAGTAGTGGGAATCTAGGTGAGAGATAATGTTGGCTTGGACTAGGGCAGGGCAGTGGAGACAGAGGTGGTGTACCCTCGGTGGTGGAATTGGTGACCAATTAAATGGGAGAGGGAACAGCATGAAGGAAGAAATTAAGACTCCTAAATTATTTTTCCTTAAGTTTTTTTTTTTTTTTCAAAATACTAGTACTTTATTTTGCATATTTCAATGTTGTTCTTGTTAGGTGCCATGGAGTTGATTATAACTCATTTAAAAAAAAAAAAAAAAACACTGCCATCGAGTCAATTCCAAGTAGGGATATCATAGCTATAATTTTTTTTTTTAATTTTTATTGTGATTTGGGTGAAAGTTGACAAAGCAAATTCATTTTCCACACAGCAGCTCACATACACTGTCTCATGACATTGACTGCAATTTCCCACAATGCAACAGCTCCCCTCCCACTTCCTCCCCATAGTTACCTCTTCCCTATGTCCTTCACTCCCATGTACTCCTGCCCCCCTGAGCTGTCTCCCCATGCATACACAGCCCTTCTGTTCTCCCATGGTTGATCTCTCCAAAGAGTGAATCTACCTAATGTCAATGCTCTATACTTGTAATCTTTACAAGAGCAGATCACCAGGTCTTTCTCCCACATAGCAGCTAGTGGGTTTGAACTGCCAACCTTTCTGTTAGTAGCCAAACACCTAACCATTGCACTACCAATGCAATGTTCCTTGAAGACTCCTAAATTTTGACCTAAGCAATTAGGTGGCTACTGGTGTCATTTCTGAAATAGGAAAGACTGGGAGGGCATGAATCACAGTTCCATTTTTAACATGTTAAGTTTGAGAGTTCATTATAGGTCCACGTTGTTGTTATGTGCCGTCAAGTCGGACCTGACTCATAGCGACCCCTCCTGGGGTTTCCAAGGCAGTATCACTACGGAAGTAGATTGCCCCAACGTGTAGATGTCAAATAGCCAATTGAATAAATGGGTCTTGGAGCTCATAGGAGTATTCTGGGAATATAAACTTGGGAATCTTCTGCAGATAGATGGTGTTTAAAGTCATGAGATTGGGTGTATCTGAAGAAGAGGCTCAGGTCAAGACATTGGGCCTCTTATTGAGAAGGATGAGTTTTCAAGGAAGGGCTGAGGGCGGCTGAGAAGTGGTGGCCAAGAAGGTAGGAGGAAACCCTTGAGTATGACACGTTAGGAGGCAAGAGGGGAGAGTTTTGAGATACAGCAGCTGCTGACATTCAGAATCCAGCCAATGACAAAATGATCAGAATGCTTATTTTTTGTTCTGTTTTGTTATCTGTGTGCTTTGGCTCTAAGGCACTTCTCATCCCCAGGCAATTCTCAGTTTCAAACTCCAACCTCTCTTGACCTTCTTACTTAAAAAATAAAAAAGGAGACTTGTTATGCCTAACGGAGTTATATATACCCCCTCATTGTATTCATTCATCCAGTCATATTTTTTCATTTTTATTCTGTTGTTGTGAGACTATACACAGCAGCATATACACCACTTCAACAGTTTCTACACATACAGTTCAGTGACATTGATTACATTTTTTGAGTTGTGGAACCATTCTCACCCTCCTTCTCTGACCTGTTTCTCCCTGTTAACATAAACTCACTGCTCCCTAAAGTTCCTATCCAACCTTTTGAGTTGCTGTTGTCAATTTGATCCCATAGAGACAGTTCTTAAAGCTCAAGGCAGACATTTTTTTACTAGTTAAGCTATTGTTTGGTTTTAAGAAAACTTCAGGGGGTATTTTTGGTTTAAATTTTAAAGATTATCTCAAGGCAATAGTTTCAGGATTTCTTCCAGCCTCTATGGCTCCAGAAAATCTGGAGTCTGTAAGAATTTGAAATTTTGTTCTGCATTTTGCCCCTTTTGATCAGGATTCTTCTACAGAATCTTTGGTCAAAATGTTCAGTAATGGTAGCCAGGCACCATCCCGTTCTGGTCTCATGGCAAAAGAGGCAGTCGTTCATGGAGGCAATTAGCCACCTATCATAGAACTGCTTATTGAATGCCTGTTATGGGCCAGGTCCTAGGGACAGGTCAAAAGCCCTAGTCCAGTGTCTTCCTTATCTAGTGCTACTGTAACAGAAACACCACAAGTGGGTGGCTTTAATGAGCATAAATTTATTTTCTCACAGTTGAGGAGGCTAGAAGTCCAAATTCAGTAGCTCAGGGGGAAGGCGCTCTCTCTCTCGCTCTCTCTCTCGCTCTCTCTCTCTCTCTCTTCCTCCCTCCTTCCCTCCCTTCCTCCCAGCTTTGAGGGAGGGTCCTTGTCATTGATCTTACCCTGGTCTAGGAGTTTTTTAGTTCAGGGACCCTGGGTCCAAAGGATGTGCTTGGCTCCTGGCTCTTCTTTTTTGAGGGTAGGAAGTCCCTTTCTCGATGCTTGTTTCTCTCTCCTTTTATCTCTTATAGAAGATGATGCAGACCACACCCCAGGGAAACTCCCCTTACATCAGATCAAGGCTGTGACTTGAGTGAGGATGTTGCATTCCACCTTAATCCCTGTACAATTAATTGGCAGATCACATCATGGGGAATGATTATATCATTACATATCTGCCAAATTACATCATTACATAACTTACAAACCACTGAGAATCATGGCCCAGCCAAGCTGACACATATTTTGGGGGGGACACAATTCAATACATGGCATTCAGACACCCAAGGAGCCTTCAGGTGCTTACAGAATATTGAGGAAGACAGGAAAATAATCACCCAAGTAAATACAAGGTTACAAACAGAAAAGTGCTACGAAGGCGAAGCAGAGGGTGCCATGAGAGAGCCTATCACAGTGTCACCTTGTTTAGATTACGCATGACATGGACAGTGTGTACACTTTACACACAAATATTTACTGTAACCCAGGGCCAC